TAATTTTTATAATCTTGCAAAAATACATGAATATGGAGATATCGTTTCTTACTTGAATGTCGGTTGACAATTGAATATTTTAGGGTGTTCAAACTCTAAAATTCCTATCGAAGGGAAATTTGCTCTTCAAAAAATTGGATTTAGCAATTGAAATAACTCCATGCCTCTTTCTAACAATTGAATATTAGGGAGTTCAAAGTCTAAAATTCCTATCGAAGATAAACTTGCTCTTCAAAAAATTGGATTTAGCAATTAAAATAGCTCCGTGCCTCTTTCTTAGGAAAAAGTATCCTTGGGTCAAGGAAGAGCACAAATACCCATTTTTCAATTTTATTAATTTTTTTATTTTCAAGTAAATAAAGGAATGAGACACTTTCTGAATATTTTGAATTTTTAATTATATATTGTCACATTTAAATTATTTAGGCTACCATAAAATAAAAGGGTTGAAATTTTCTTAATTATAAATTTATTTTTATTAAGTATCCATAATAGAGTACTCATAAGATTTCATATGAGATTTTTTTTAATGTCTAATAGTATATTTTCAAGTAAAGCTCTTTTTTTCCATTGTTTTTTTTACAGTTTAAAGACAATATCGAGCAAAGAGAGGGTGTCTGATTCGATTTTCCCTGGAATATTATTAAAAAATAGATATGGTTGGTGTTTAATATTCTTTCTTCGTGGCACCAACCATCTAGGGTTGATGTGGTTCCTTAGTATGGATATTTTGTAGTTATTTTAATAGAAAATGGTTTGATAGGGCTGCAGCCCTATCAAACTAAGTAAAGCCTCACCTCATAACTCATCCACAATTACAATTCAAGTATAAGAAAACCTTTACTTGAGCATTATGGTTATGAAAAAAAAAAGATTTCAAGATTTATGGTTATGAAAAAAGAAGGATTTCAAGATTTAAAAATAGTGTATATTGTAACAAATTATCTAGACTATCTATCTCGTCCTAAAAATTACTGTTTATAGATCTACAAGATTAGTACCATTGTTTTAATTTTGAATTTTATAGTTAGTATTGGAAATTAGTTTTAGAACATCATGGAGATTTCCCTTGCCAAAAGTGCTTTCAGGATTTAAGGTTAGGCTTTATTTTGTTTTCATAAAGCCTAGGTCTTATAGAAACCTCATCCTATTTTAGTTTTAGTTGCGACGGAATAGTGAGAGAGACCTTATTTTTTCTCTTTTCTTTATGAGATACTAAAAAAAACACAAGCTAATTGGTACATAGAGTCGCAATAATGGAACATTGATAAGATAATAATATATATGGATAACAATATAAGTGTTAATTTAAAGAGATATTGGGGTAGGAATATATTGAGAGGCCTCAATAATATTACATGTGTGCAGGGTTAAAGATAAATTATCCTTAAAAAATATTAAGGGATTGGTATGGGTAACTTAGAAAACCCCAATAATTTTTTACTCATTGCAACCATGCGCTTATAATGTTCATATAAATTTTTTTAATTATAAATTTATTTTTATTAAGTATCCATAATAGAGTACTCATAAGATTTCCTATATATCCACGTCTTTGGACGGCCAAGAAATAGCGGATCCCATGCGCTTTAAAGTGGTCTCCCAATAGAAAGGCAGGCACGCAACGCGGTAGCGGCCGGTGGTAACAATGGGTTTGTTGAGGATCCGGGTAGGGGTCTGATTCTGTATCTAGCCAGAAGTGGTGTGGCAATGGTAACGGGTTGAATTCAAATTGGGAATGGAAATGGTTTGGTTTCAAATTGGAGCTGGATTTGGATCGAGATTTAATTCTACCTTATGTAAAAATAATATTTATATATAGGAAAAAGTTTATATAAGGACGTAACCTTATAATGTAGAAATACGGATGCACTTCAAAACCTTATAATGTAGAGATTATATGGATGGGTGTTAGAGGATCATGGATGCACTTCAAAACCTTAATGTGGATCTTATACACATGGGTGTGGGAGGATCATGGATGCACTTCAAAACCTTATAATGTAGATCCTATATACATAGGTGTGGGAGGGTCTTATATATAGAAAGAGAAAGAGGGAGAAAAATGGCTTATAATGTAGATCCTATACACATGGGTGTGGGATGGTATTATATATAGAAAGAGAAAGAGAGAGAAAAATGACACTATGAGACCCTCCCACACCCATGATCACCATTAAATTTTGACATCTCAAATGATCACCATGAAATTTTGACATACGATCACCATTAAATTTGACACAGATCTCTAAAAAAGTTATGTTATGACATGGGTGTGGGACTTGGGTTAAT